TTGTAATAAAGCTGTATTGGGAAGAGCAAAAGAAACATTATTAACTGAAGCTGCAAATTTTGTGCCATTAGGTCCTTGGCAAGTTGTATTTTTAGGGCATGGACTCGAGCCTAGTCCCACGGTGAAGTAGAATAGCCTGTCCACTGTTTGTGGAACACTTGCGGTCAAATTAGGGTTGTTTAAGCTACGGAACTTCCCAGTGAAGTTGGCAACAAAAGTGGTGGCGTTGATCGGTGGAAGAGTTGGCTTGAAAACAATCTTTTTCGTACTGGAAGTATGATTCAACTGGTGCTCGTATTCTAGAATACCAGCAACTGTTGAATTGTCAAAAGTGCCCTGGCCGGTGAAGTAAGGCCTAGCAGCCATGAGGAAAGTAGCATTGGGATAGTATGGCTTGGTATTTAGAAGAACATTGGTGGTTTGGCCCGGGGTTATCATTACTACATCAGTCTGAAATGGTTTGATGTATACAGCATCAGCTTCAACAATTGTGACTGTATGGTTCGCAATGCTGAAGAATAGTTCATCGTTCATTGCAGCATTGATTAAACGAAGCATATATGTCTTCCCTGCCTTCACCTTTAGTTTGAATGTATCTGAAACCAACCCAAATACATGATCATTACAGAGAGATTAGAATAGAAGAATAATATTATTAATTAAAACATTTATACCAGTTAATGTTAGTTTTTCATTATAGATAGCGATGATACCTTTAGAAGAACAATTATACAATGGCCCTGGAAAACCATTAATAGTGTAGGCATCTGAAACATTTGGACCACCCCCTGTTTGCAGAGCCTGATTAATTACAGCCTCAGGATCTGCATTCCACCACTCCCCTGAATTTGAATTTTGAAAAATGGAGTTATATTAAAAGATGCTTACAAAGTATGTGTTCATAAAATGTAAAATGCCATATATATGAAAGTTACCAAAAATAATGGGAACTTCCTCGTATGGTTTTCTGAAGGGGTAAGATTCATTGCGCTTTGGGCGGATGATAATAGGTCCATAAACTGTTGCTCTCAACCATGAGATATGAGCATGCCAGAAGAGAGTTCCTCTCTGCCCGGTGATTGTGAAGTTGTACGTGTACGACTGGTTGGTCTGTATCGGACATTGTGTTACGTAAGCTGGTCCATCAGCCCACCCACTCCTAAGTTGCCGAATGCCATGCCTGTTGTGGTTTTAGCATTATTCCCCAACTCCGAAAGCAATAGTAAATGAGAAAGAATTGAGAAAACGAGCAAAGAATACACAGATCTATAGTGGTTTGAGTCAATTTGAGCGCTATGTTTACTCCCATGCATGCACCACAAGAAGATTACAGGTTTCCTCACACTCTATGTCCCGAAAAAATGCCTCCTATACCCCTCCCCGATTTTGTTGTATAAATATTGTAGGAAATTGTCACTTAATAAATTTTTGTATAGTACATCTCTGTAATAAGAAAAAATTGTACGGTCAGGGATAACTGAACTGCATAATTAAGTTTGAGTGTTTGACACGGTCCAATGCCTGCATTTCACTTGAAGCAAATCATGTGGCAAATTCTACTGTTATTATTTTCTAAAAGAAACAGTTGACGAGTTCTCTTACCAGTGAATTGTGATATTGTTTGAAACATGGTTAACCACCTTAACGAGGAGCTGATCACCTTCTCGTGCGACAATGCGAGGGCCTGGAAAGCGTCCATTGACGCTAAAAATGCTCTTGGTATGGCACAATCTCGTTACATTATGCTGCACAATCTAGCATGACAGATCAACGAAACAGCAGTTTAGAAGCAGAAATCAGAATGTGAAAACCATATTACACTGGGCAAAGTAACATACATTGAACTTGTAGTGTCGTGTCATGCAAAACGCAAACTCGGGCAGTAGAAGTGCGGCAAAAACACCAAACAGCCGGACTGCCGTTGAAGCAGGTAGAGAAAGTTGACAAGGTGCCATATTTTACACCCTTTACACTTGGGAATTGTTTGAGTTCAGATTACTGAAAGCTGTATGAATTACATATTTTGTGCGACTATATATAAAGGTACGAGGTTAGGTATTAAGAAGATTGTCATCAAGGACTGATGTGGAGAATCTTCATGGAGTTCCATTTTCCTGTTGTCTTGGTCACCTTGTGTATACCGCTTCGCTGTTGGTCAAGCTTAATTTTAGAGTGTTGATAAAGTAAGATAAAACTCCTTTTTTCCTGCCTGATCCTGATTATCAAGTAGATTTTACTTAAATAATCACTTATCAGTGTTGGAGATTAATCACATCCATTCAAATTTCAAAGTTAAAACATTCTTCAGTTCAAACAGAACGTCTCCTCCCCCACCACTTGTCCCCTTTCCTGGCAACTAAGAATGTTGTCGCATTCTAAGGTGGTCCTTAGTTTGACCGTGCTGATTCATAGTTTTGAATACTTATATGATATTGTACAAGGGCATGCATAACATAGCCAATGTTTAACAATTAATTTTTACAAGTCAGGGAGCTTCTCATTTTAAGTGTTCGGTTGTTAAACGAAAGAAGGCTCATAAGATGGAAGTAGCGGAAATGAAGATGTGAAGATAGACATAGGCACACTTAGGGCCCGTTTGGTATGGCTTTAGCCAAAAATCTGCTTCTGAGACTAACAAGTTGCTTATGAGCCATTTAGTTAATTTTTCAGAAGTCTTTTGCCTACTTAGAAGAGCTTTCAAACGAGCCCTAAGATAAGGAACGAGAATATACGTGATCAAGTGAATTCCGCATCAGTTGAGATGTATTAGTAGGATGTCTAACTTTAGGTAGTTTACACAGGTTCAAGAATGACACGATATCAGTAGAATAGGTTAAAAGTGGGATGGGATGAAAAGCATTCTACTAAATTGCATGCATAGAGTTCCCAAACAATACAACTTGAGATCGATGCATGAACTTTTTCCATAAGCCGTTGATTCATTCTAACGTCTAATTAAAGGTTTTAATTTTTATGTGAGAAATAATAGTAAAAATGACAAACCTGAAAAGGAAATTACACCCTTCTATGTCAAAACTGTAATTTATTTGAATGTATTATAATATAAGCAATTTATTATGATAGTTTTTGCTGAATTATTTAAGAATTTCCCACCAAAAAGAAGGTCAACATTGGGAAAAAAAAATCATCTTACTGGAGAAGAGAGGGTGGTTGCTGGGATGACTGATGAACAGATTTACCCTATTTACCTTAAATTCTAATTTTTTTAAGGATATGTCTCGGTCGTCTCACTTTCCAACTGTTCTTACTTTGCAATTAAGACATTCATGAGACTTCTTAATTTGCATATTCGATGGGTTCACAAGATTGATTCACAAGATGTGACTATTTTGACATGATTGGACCGTCTAGAAATTATTGCCTTCTTACCTCGTCACCAACACTGGCATAAAAAAAAGTAGGAATGGATAAACAACACATAAATCGAGGGCTATGCAGATCTTCACACATGTACGAAATAGAGTGCGTCTCCTTCCCGTTGAAGACGGTTCCTTATGTTCAGTCTTAAAATGATCAAGCCTCCTTATAGACTATTATTTTATGGCATATAATTTAGCAGTCGAAAAATATATTTATTCTCTTTTATATTATCGACTTCAAAATTTTACATTGTAATATCGAAATTATGGCGTCCATACTCGAGACACGTGTAATATTAACTAATAAGGTCATGTTTGAACCAAATTATTGTAGAATGAGAATGAAAAATATAGTCGTTATAGGGGCTCACATAAGAGATAGAAAATTTGAATTTAAATGTTGGTGTGATGGATAACAGTCATATTTTTTATTTTAATGAGATAATAATATAGATCAAACGGAGTATTTGATGGGGGCATGCTTAAGACAACAGAATAAGGTGTGGTTGGAGAGTGTGGAGACCGAATAAAGAGCAGCCATTGGCAATATTTTTCCTCAACTGCCAAGATGAAAAGGATGTTTCAACTCATCCATCCATGATGCATGCCAAATGAACATTAGAATTGTACGCTAATTACAAAATTTGTTGAGATCAAGCCCCCCCTTTAATGCAATTTAGGTTAATGTGCTAATCAAATCATTAATTCTTGGTGTCGAAACAACGTGGTAACCGAACTTCGAAAGATCCACATAACCATAATTTCTAACCTAGGCAAAGGATCGGAAACTCCAACGTATCACTGGAGAACGACAACGATTGGTAATAAGTTTACACATTTTCTCAACTCACATTTACATTTTAATGCCTGTCCTTGTTCTCAAACAAAGGCTTAGAAGACCATTGTTATTACTACTAACAAGGTTCTTTCTAACTTCATTGATTGGTTTCACTCGTTTTTTATCTATCCAATCAGGGAAAAAAATAGTAGAAAGAGAATAGTATAAAGAGTTTCGCCGGATTTGACAACCATGAAATGGGAAAAACCATGTTTTAAATAAGAGTAATGCCCAACTGGGAATGAAAACACAGTCTATGTGACGCTAATGTGGCATTAAATGATAGGTGAAATTAAATAAATTCATTTAACCTATCATTTAATATCACATATACTGTGTTTTCATCTCCAATACGGATGAATAACATTACTCTTTAAATAATAATTTTTACGAGAATTTGCTGTTAAAAAGTAGAAAAAATTTTGGGTTCATGTGCCGAATATTTTATTGTGTTAATGTACAATGAAAAATGAGTATCTAAAACAAAGAGTTTGAAAATAATGATTATCAAATGAGGACTAAAAAGAGTCTTTTTTTCCGGAAAAATGAATTTTGAAATAGTGATTTTTTTAAGAACGTGTGATTAGAAAGTTGATTCTACATAAATACAGCAAACCGGAAAATTCCCATATTTTCTAGTAACAGAATCATGCCAAAGTAGCGAGCCAAATCCTCCAACTTTCTAAAACCCTAGTGGTAAAAACTAAGAAGTAATTTAGCCCCAGTTTGAAACCCCTTTTTTGGGGAAGAAATGTGTTTTGGAATAGTAATTTTTTGGAGAATGTGCAGTTAAAAAAATTGAATTTGCGTGTAAAATTATTTTATGAAAGAACGTATAGTTGAAAATAAATTTTGAAAAAAATAGAGCTCAAAAAAGGGATATTCCATCAACAAAAAAAAGTTAATTTGATATAGATTGATTAAACATCTGAGTTGATTCCAATCTCATAATAGAAAATGAAACAAATAGGATTTACACCTCTACTTAAGAACTTCTGCATTGCTTCTACAGACTGAAATTAGACACGTGCAAAGAGATAAGAAAAACATAAAACCTAAGCCCAATCTTCTCTTCCAAGGCCATTGGCGAAGAATGTCTCAATATCAGGTGACCGGAAGTAACCATTCTTCGGAGGGTTCTGCTTAGTTTGCTGGCGTTCCATTTTCTTCCTCGGCGCCGGCGGACACACCACAGGCTTCGGTATCTGATAATCCTGGTTCTTTGGAGTAGTACACTCTTGCTCCACCTCCATTTCCACTTATTTATCAATTTGAAAAACAATATTGTAGTACGTGCAGTACTATGATGTACCTTTCGTACCTAGAAGAATGCAAGAAGTACAGTGGAACAATATGTAGAATCTTGTGCAAATATTTGAAATTGTGGAGTAGTGGAGGAGGTGGGGTGTTTTTCAGGATCTAGCCTTTACGGTCCAGCGATAAGCATTGTTGACAGCTAAGTATGGGGTGGCACCGACTTGTTTGTGGGACGTGGTTGGCCCATGTTGGACCCTGTCATTAGTGATTTTCAAATAGGGCGGCAGCTACTCGACGGGCAATTCAGGAGGAAAACTACTTGGGGTGGCTTTCATATGAAATTATGAATCTCTTTCTCTGTTTCTCTCCCCATGCAATTGTTTCCTTTTTCTTTTTCACTTGGGAGTAACTCTTATGAATTTAGTAGTTTGGTTTGAAACCCATGTTTGATGGCCATTATTTTGAGAAAATAGAGTTTTAAATAGTGATTTTTTTAAAGAAAGCATAGTTAAAATGTGGAGAAAAAGTTGTGTTAAAAAGTGTAAAATATTATATGATGTAAAAGTGTGAATGAAAATAAGTACGAGAATTAAAGATTTTTGAAATGATGGTTGTCAAACAGGGGGCTAATGATGTTAGAGATTACTACTATCGTAATTTATGGAAAGGTTTTAAAAGAAACTTTTACTCAAATTTTCCCTTTGAAATTGTTGTGAAAGTGAATTGGCTCATCTCATTATAATTTGAAGTCAAAGATGGATTTTAAACATTCACAATTACTTATTAGTGTCTTTTACACGTTTATCCGAATTTCTAAATTGAATTATTTATTTTTAATTCAGCACAAGTTTACCTAATTTACAGTAATTATGTTAATGGTAAAAAAATCCAAATTGGATACAATTAGAGCAAAGAAATGTGATTTTGAGTCTAATCGGAGTTGATTCAAATCAATTGAAGATCAATCGGATTGCACATGATTAATAAGAAGAGTTAAGATAGCAATCAAAAGAAACTCACAAGTTTCGGGAGCTAAATTTAACATTTAAAAAGTTTGGGAACACAATTGTAGATTTTTTAGAACTTACATCGGATCAATTACGAATGTTGTGGACGATAAAAAAGGTCAAAGTGTAAATATTTAATATTGAAGGACACATGGTGCAAAAAAAAGACTTAAGTTGCATGAAAGAAGAAATCTAGGGACCAAATTGAACTTTGGGGAAAACTTTGAAGCTTGCGATTGTAAGCTTTGATGACTACGATCGCAAGGGGACAAATTTACCTCCAGCAAGTTTAGAAGTTCTACCGTGTGATTAAAGAAGAAGAAGAAGAAGATTAAAGAACGTTGATCAAGACATGTTGAAGAGATTCGAGATTATCTTCCATTTTCTCTACACGCTTAAATCGGGTGATGTACTATAAATCTAATATGTGTTTTTGTAATAATGTGGTGTTCGATTAAATGTACATAAGCTAGGATAATGATAAATCTTATATTATGAAGTTTTGATATTAATTTTAAGATTTTGACTTTAATATTTATTGGATTTTGAATGATTGTTATGATTTTCACGACTTTTTAATTACTTGATCAACAATTGATGAGTTTTGTAACTTCTATTTACATTTGAAACAAGCAAATAGAAATTATAGCATATAGTAATAATTATTGTAAAGTCTGATAAAAGATAAAGATATACAACAATACTTCGCATGATTTTATAAATATTCATGTGATTTAAATGCATCTTCATGTATTCTTATCATTCATGGAGATATGTATGTAAGGATGTGTTTAATTCCACTCAAGAAATATTACTAAACATGAAAGTACGCAGTTCGACCCCAACTACACTTAAAGGAGGTGAATAGGTGTAAATGCAGAATTAAAAATTTATAATTAATAGCATTTATTTAGAGACAGGAATCGAATTAAGACTCTAATACCAATTGAAAATACACATTTCGACCCAAACTACACCTAGAGGGAGGTGAATAGGTGTAAAAGCGGAATTAAAAATTTATAATTAATAGCAAGAAGTCACTAATTAATTATTTCTAGATGATTAAACATACAATGCGATTATCCTATATTTGAATACAGTAGAATATAATAACGGTAAATAACACAATAAATAATGCATTGTATGATCACGGAGAAACCCCTAACTGGGTAAAAACTCTAGACACTTTGTCAGTCAACAATTTATATTAATTGTAAACTACTTTTTGACTTTTTACAACATATCAATTCTAATCTTTTTTTGTTCACAGAATATCCAATTACATAAAATACCTAACAAAACAAAATATGAATATTGATCTTTAAACCTGAACAAGTTGTTAAACCTTGCAAAACTAGGACTTACACGTGGTCTCAATTAACCTACGTGGCAAACGGTTCAGGGGTCCCACGCCTTACACACTAACATGGGGCAACCCAACTACACGTAGACGAACCACGTCAAATTTGAACAACCAGCTTTCCCCCGTATAGAAAAACTGGATAGACCCTATTACACACAGACCCCATTGCAAGAGCAGTTCTAGGACGAGGTAGTGACAAGATCTTGTGCCACGTGATTGACAAGACAATTCACTGCCATCGTCGTCGCTGCAAACCTATTTGGTCAACTCCAAGCCGCAAGCTAGGCTTTATGGATACAAAAATGGTATTAGCATTTAAAGCTGTGATTGGTTGATGTCTATAACTAGAGGGGTCAGTCATTTGGATGAGGTCACGTGCATTGTCATCCAACGACATTCATTCACTCTACCCAATTATAAAAGCCCATACTTAGTGTCATTCAAAGGTAATACAAGTTTAGACTCTCAAAACTATATTCTTGCTACACACACATCTTACTCATTCACCCTAAAGCCGATCTCCCTCTTTACATTCAAGGTTCACGTTTTAAGTTTTCCCATACTCATATAATTACTTCTCCAACTGACTTGATCGTCGAAGTGTGTGCAACCAACTTCAACCCTTCCCAGAAAGCCACGTGCGACTAACAGTTTGTCCAAGTGTGCAGAAATCCAGCTAGCGTGGACGTGAAAGGCCTTTGGATCTGTTGCCCACATCATTGATACATTGTTTTGGGGTCAACACAAGTGTTATCAAATTCTTGGATTAATATTAAAATGGAATAATATAAAGGTATTCGAAGTCTTGGTGCTTTCCATTATTTGAGTTCATACACACTTCTCACATAGTTAAATAAGTAAGAAAACAATAAATATAGAAGTTTGACAACTTATTCATCGTTTCAAAGCACGCTAACAACATATTCACACGGAAGTTATCATCAAAGACAAGATGTGCTAATGAATAGTGCCACAAATAGCACTTGTTAGGAACTTTTATTGCGTTAAAATGTGGTGTATCCAACAAAAAAATGTGGTGTGAATCTAATTATCCATTACCTTTTCACAGACAATTTCCATAAAAAGGTAAGCATACATTTACAACTGCCAAGTGGGAGGCGACACATGAAAGCCAATTTAGCCCAAAAAGGAAGACATTCAAGTGAAGAATCAACTACAAAAGGTACCAAACAAGGATTGTGACTGTGAAATGTCATGCAACTCATCGATAGGTGTCAAATAAACCAGAAAAAATCTCAAAAGGTAAAGATTATGCACCCTTAGCTTGTGCATTATCTACAAATACCCTTGAGTAACACATGTAGAAGTTGAGACAATGGAAGGAATTACTTGTTGGATACTTTTTCCCGATGGAGGAAGCTAAGGGGTTGTTCTCTTTGCTGTTTTCGGACCGTTTTCTGTTTTCAATTTTTAAAAATAGTGAAAATGCGTTCCATTTCCCATTTTCGAAAATGAGTTTTTGAAAACAATAAAAAAAAAAAAAATCCACTGGAAACTCAAAACGTGTTATTAGACGTTTGGAGTGTTTTCTTCCCAAAGCACGCTAAAAATTGAAAACGCGGAAAACGCCTCTTTTTCCCTTTCCTCAAAATTCTTCCTTGAGCTACCGATCCGCTTAGCCTCAAAAGTTCTTGTAGATGCCATGGTTGCAATCCCAATCTCTTCAATTGACACACTTTCAATTTTCTTCAATAAATCCCGGCTTGATCTACTACAGATTTCGTGTTCTTCAAGTCGTCTTTGAGTATGTCCATCAATCCTATTTATTTTTTGGTTTAAATAGATAAATATGAAGTCTTGGCTAAAGGGATTTGATTTAGTTTTAGCTTCGGTCAATTTTCTGGTACTTTTCTATGATAATATAGTTCTTATTTTCAAATTTGGCTCCCGACTTTTGTACCCATTTTCTTTTTCTGGAGTTTTCAATTATTCATGATAAAGTTTGTATGTTCCTTGTGTTTTTTGCACAACCAATTCCATTAATGTTGATAATAAATTGATTATGATTTCTAATTATAAACTTAAGAACGGGGAAAAAGTATGCAATATTTTGTTTCGTTCTTGGGCAAAATTGGAAGTGAACTCAACATGCATGAGATGTATACCAGTGAAATGAAAAAAGCCATATGAAAAGATCTAGCGTTCCTGACAGAAGATGAGGATTCAATAATTTTAAGAAAGAACGCTGTGACTTTTGGCTTCCATAGATGTGGCTCAATGGAATTTGTATGAATAGAAAATTTTAAATAATAGGAAGAAACAAGATAAAAGAGGAAGAAACAGAATTCCACTATGTGCATAGCTTCGAACGTTATCTATTCTGATAACCTATAGAAAACATCAAATTATTTGATCATTTGGAAATAGGCTGACACATCAAATAAAGCTTACATGGCAGCACCTTGAGAAGTTGAGGATGAGATGAACTCCAACAAGTCAAATTTCTTGTTTTATGTTAGTCATTGCCAATTGGGATAGCACTTTGCAGTTGGCCATTGTCAAGACATTTTCCTCCGCCACTTACTATTTGGTGATAGTAAAAGTTAAAGAGTCGGTCACGTTACTATTTGGTGATAGTTGAAGTCTTACAACTAGCCTAGATAGCTTGCAACATGGAATTTGTAATTTTAATTTGTTCCTTGAATTTGTTTTTTCCCCCTCTACCCTGGATCCTCGTCTGAAGGAAATGATCGTGTATTATAAGCATGTAGGATTGATAAGGTGCAGAAATTACTTTCTCAATTTTATTGTAGGAATAAATGTAATCTAGTAGTAATTTCGACATCAAATCAATAAAAGAAAGGAATGAATTTGGGTATCATTTGTTTGTAATGTGAGATCTTGATGAAGTCCAGTGTTGGCATTCTACTTGCAAATTATTTAAGTCTTGATAAAGTTTTGTCATCTTTTAAAGTTTGAGAGGAATGCATTAAGTTGCTGCTGCCACTTGCACTTTCTTCGAGCTTGAATCTTGTGTGTGTATTTTGCATTTATAGTCACCATATCTTCATCTTCTATTGTATAAAGTCATGTTTAATAGGCTTAACTTTTCTTTATCCAGTCGTGTTTAATTCTGTCATGTATTATTCTTAATCCACTCGGGTCAATGTATCAAACAATGCTTGTTGCCCCATGTTTGGCTAATGTTCATGTAGTGTTTATAAAAAATCAAATTACTTATTTTTTTTCACACAATTGACGCGGCCTACAAGCATTATTAATTCATTTTGATCTTTCCTCTTTCGAGTAAGCTGATTTGCATAAACGGTATAAAATTGTGGCTTTTGAGTATTTGGGTGTGTAAAAGGGTTCATCTTTTTATGGGCATAGATTCTTAGTCTTCCTAATTTTATCAATCATACATGCATTGTAATCTACTGTCTGAATTTGCAACAATTGTATCGGGAGGGAAGGGTATAGCACGACAAAAACAAGACCCTCAGAGAAGCTGGGGTTACTGTGGTTGAGTCGCCTGCGAAGATTGGAACTGCAATGCTTGATGTCTTCAAACAAAGGGGTCTTGCTTGATTGAGCTGAATTTATATTTTTCAATTTCTTCATTTTTTTCCTTTTTCTGGAAAAAGTGTGGCCCTTATTATAACGAGGATGATTTTGTTGCAATGCTATTCCACTTGGATTTGAATTCTCAGTTAGTGAATGTATCATTCTGGACAGAACCTTCATTAGTTTTTTCTATAGCTTATCACTTGGACCTCCTTAGAGAAAATGGTCATTTTCCTTGTAAAGGTACATCTTGTTTTCTTCATCTCCCCCTCTTTTTATTGCTGCACTTTATGGAGTCTAGTCATACTTCATACTTATCCCTCAACTGACCATTTTTTGTGAGACACAGAGTGGGAGGAACATGATCACCATTAGTTCATCCTCGTTGATGTAATTTTCTTGACTTTCAGACAATGTTGAAGAAAATATAAATTACATACCCGGAGATTCTTCAATGAATACAAGGGACTTGATGTCATTCCTTAAAGAATCTGAGATAAAAAGGATTATACAGAAGATTGTGATCAAGACATTTGATGTTGAAGTTCAGAAAGCAGATTTTATCCTGCTAAACACTGTTTAAGAACTAGAATTTGAGGCAATATCAGCTCTACACCACAAGCAGCCAACTAGATAGGAAATATCAGCTCAACTAGAATTTGTGGTGTACCTATGATTTGCTATCCATTACGAGGTGATCAACCTACTAATAGGAAATTAGTGGTTGACGAATGGAAGATTGGAATTAATCTTTGTGACAGAGAATCAGTTACCAAGGAAGAAGTTGTAGAGAAGATCGACAACTTGATGAATGACACAGTTTTGGATGGATTAAAGATGGAGATCACATTTAATTAATATTCAATAAGTTAATCATCTTTAATAATTAATATTCGATGTGTAGTTTTAGCCTTTCAGGTTTTGGCTAAAGTTTTATATACATTTCAATTTCACAGGAGTCTCAATTATTTTAGTTAATGCTTACTTGATGATGAAATTCTTATTGTAGTTTGGCATCCTCTGAATTTGTTCAATAACTTCTGCTTTTAACACTTTAAGAATTAGAGAAAAAAGTTCACGTGGTTAATCATTAAACTATGTTATTTAATACTATATTAACTTTAAACTATTAAAACTTATTGAATAATCATATTTCTTAAATAAAATATTATTTAAAAAAATTTCAAAATTTCAAAGTAAACGCGTTTTCCATTTTTATGTTTTCAGAAACAGTTTTTCAGAATGGCAAAAAAAAACGCATTTTCAGAAATTTCAAAACAAATACTCAAAACACAAAATACAAAATGAATTCAAAACTCAAAACACAAATCTGAAATACAAAGAGAACAGCCCCTAAAATTTCTCGTGTAGTTACGACATATTCTAGTGTTTATTCTCAAAATGGTGAATTCATTTGTTTTAGTGAGATTCGGTTTGGTATAAGATCGATGGTGTCCACCAATCCATTATACCATCGAACCCTCCCTGTTTCTTTTTTATTTTTGTGTAATAAGTAATTTTAGATTCAATTTAAGTTTGAAATTTCAGATCGGAAATGGTGAAGATCTCGTTGTGTATGTTGTGCCGATGATGTTGATGGTCAATGTCTCGATTGCCGACGGTGATGTTGAGTAGAATTTTACGGTACAGTGGCCGAATGATAGTGGATATCGTGGCAACGATTGAGATTGTAAATTTCTCGACACGTGTAGAATGGTTCCATTGTGGTAACATAATATGTTACTCGTATGATTTTGGTGGTGGTGGAAGAAAAGTTGTGTGGTGGATTCAGACAAGCAACATAGCCCCTGTTTGAGCCCCTTTTCTTTAAGAATACATATTTTGAAAACTTATTTTCAACCACACATTCTCCAAACAAATCACTATTCCATAATAGATTTTACCCCCAAAAATGGGAATCAAACAGAGGTATAATTTGTTTTTCATGTTTTATGGCGTGATGGGAGACACTAGTGTGGAGTTATTTTAGACGGGTAATATAATATGCTACTATGTTTTGTGACAAAGGTATTGGCAGGCGGTGGTGCAAAGTTGTCTCGATATGGGTAACATTATCCATATTTATAAAGTAATAGTAGCAAAGGGGTAATATAATCTGTTAATTATATAGAACGTGATTTTTTAATAAAAAATAACATGTATATTACATTTAAATAATATTTTTTAATTTAAAATTAAAACATTTTAATGATATACAAGTAACGCAGTAAAACATATTACACAAACATGTAATTCGTAAAAACGAACTAGTATAAAATTTTAATTTTTTAAATGAAAACGTGACATACAGTAATGTGTATGTTACCTTAAAAGATTTTTGGCTAATTAGCACAAAACGTCCCTACCTTTGGGGTTGATTTTGTAAACCGTCCCTACCTTTCATTTCTTGGCATTTATGCTTCTACCTTCAACTTTTTTGTGCGCTGAACGTCATTTTCTCAACTTTTTGTCGATTTTACCCCTCATTCAATTGAAATAACAAGAAAAGAAAAGAAAAACTAAAGAATTAATTGCAATGATAACGCCAAATTTTTAAAACCTACTTTTCAGTCACAAATACTAATTTTTGCCCCCAACCAGCCGCCAACTGCGGAGCTATTTTCAGCCACCTTTCAACCACCAAAACCATAGGATATTGGCATCAATAGAAAGCTCTTAACCTTCTCTACAATCACCATCCAACAACTCCCCAAAACACCAAATAATCCTGCAGAAATCAACTCTCAAATTCAGCCACTCGAAAATCTGAAAACTGCTGGAATTTCCTCCTCCGGCCACCACCTTTGATGGCCAAAAACGCTGGCCAACCACCACCAAAACCACCGGACATTAACACCACTAGAAAGCCCTCACTATGCCCTTCAATTCCCACCCAATATCATGCCTTGAATAGCCCTGAGATCGCCGAATATTTGGACAAAAATTGCCTGCTCATTTTGATAAAACTGGACGACAACTCCTTTTTCGGCGACACCCA